CATAAGCGGCTAAGCGGCTCCTCATTAACGCAGGAAGCCCCGCTCAGCAGCAGTCTGGAGCCGCGGAGGGTCTTGCGCTGTCCATTGCCCATTTTAAGGTTACAGCAGTTATATTCTGCTCAGAATGTGAACTGCTACGCTGGGGGGGGGGATTAGAGGGAACATTGGTCTCAGCTTCTCCTTTGTGCAGAAGTGGAAGAGAAATTCCAGATGGAGTTTGCTACTGGGTATTTACTAGAGGGAAATTGCTGCTTGCCTTAGAAAAAACCACATGGCTGAGTACCTGGAGGGTGGAAGAAGAGAGAAACCAGGAGTATGAAGTTCTTTCTAAAGCGCTGCACATAAAGGACTAGGAACGTAAGGGGGCTTAAGTTCTTAAGGGGGCTCTCAAGGAAGCGATGGTCTCCCCCCCCAAAAAAAAGCCATCTCTGGATCCGGCCGAATTGGCCAACTACTGGCCGGTTTCCAACTTGCCTTATTTGGGCAAGTTAATTAAGAGGGTGATGACGATACAGTTGCAGGCCTTCCTGGATGACACTTCCATGCTAGATCCCTTCCAGTCCAGTTTTCACCCGGGCCATGGGGCGGAGACAGCACTGGTCGCCCTCATGGATGACCTCCGGAGACATCGGGATTGGGGCGGGACGGCGGTGCTGCTGTTGTTAGACCTGTTGGCGGCGTTCAACACAGTCGATTATCAGCTGCTCGCCCACTGCCTCGCCGACATGGGAATTCAGGGGCTCACCTTGCAATGGCTTGTCTCCTTCCTCCAAGGTCAGGGACAAAGGGTGGCCATCGGGGAGCAGCAGTCCCGAAGGCTCCTACTAGTGTGTGGTGTGACCCAAGGGGCTGTGCTGTCCCCGATGTTATTCAACATCTGTATGTTCCCCCTTGCCCAGATTGCCCGGAGGCATGGGCTTGGGTGTCACCAATATGCGGATGACACCCAGCTCTATGGCATGGGCTGGGTTGTCACCAATATGCGGATGACACCCAGCTCTATCTGATGTTGGACGGTCAGTCTGACTCTACCCTGGAAGATCTGGACTGGGCGTTACAGGACGTGGCTGGATGGCTTAGACTGAGCCGATTGAAATTGAATCCAACGAAGACAGCAGTCCTGTGCCTGAATCGGAGTGGTGCAGGGATAGGGATTCCACTCCCGTTGGTGCCAGCGCCGAGGGTCAGGAGCTTGGGAGTGCTCCTGGATGCTTCCTTAACAATGGAGGCCCAGGTAGCAGCCGCTGCCAAGGCAGCCTTTTACCATCTTCGGCTGATTAGGCAGCTGGTTCCCTTCCTCGAATGCAATGATCTGGCTGCAGTGATCCATGCTATGGTCACCTCGAGGTTGGACTACTGCAATGCTCTCTACATGGGGCTGCCCTAGGTGCAACTCCGGAAGCTGCAGCTGGTGCAGAATGAGGCGGCCAGGCTGTTGATGGGCCTCCCCAGGTGGGAGCACATCCAGCCTGTGCTTAAGACTCTGCACTGGTTGCCAATAGCCTTCCGGATTCGTTTCAAGCTGCTGGTTTTGCCCTTTAAAGCCCTTTATGGTCAGGGACCGGCCTACCTGAGGGACCGCCTTTCCCCGCATGTTCCCCAGAGAGGACTGCGATCTGGATCCCAAAATCGCTTGGACCTCCCTGGCCTAAAGGAAGTCAGGTTGATGGCAACTAGGACCAGGGCTTTCTCGTTTGTAGCTCTGTCCTATTGGAACGAGCTTCCTGCCGAGATCAGGGCCCTGCGGGACCTTTCACAGTTCCACAGGGCCATGAAAACAGCTTTTTAGGCAGGCGTTCCGCTAGGAGTGGCGTCTTACCAGCAGCGCCCTGTGTGAACTCCGACTCAGCATGACCTAGCGCGGTGGCACCGCTGAATGTGTCCTTAAATTGCACTTTATTTCTATCGCCATCGAAACTATGTTTTAAATTGATTTGTCTGTGTTTTAATTGACTTATTGTATTTTATCATTTGTAAAATGTATATTGTTCATTAGTTTTGTGGAAGCCGCCCTGACCCCACCTCAGCAGGGAGGGCGAGGTAAAAGTTAACGTAATAATAAATAAATAAATAAACAGAAAGCAGTAAAGACGCAGTCCTGAAACTTTAGAACAGAGGTGTCAAACTCATTTGTTACGAGGGCTGTATCTCATATAAATGTCACTTTGTCTGGCCGGGCCATGTTGGCCATAAAATCTAATGCCAGGTACCAGAGATATAAACTTTATAAATGACACAGGCAAGCCCAATTAACTATATTATTTTTACTCAAAATACAAACAAAAGCAATTGATTCTTAGGAACAAAAGCAATTGATTTACTGGGGAATCCACAAAAGCCCCAATAAATGTATTTAATAATATAGAAGACTAGGTTTTTTCCAAGGGATAGCATACTCACCCCCAAGCCATTTCCTTTCATTTCTTGACAGCTTCAACCACACACAC